AAATGCTTTATTTAGACGTAAATAATGTAAGTTTCATTTTGCGTCCACGATTTCAGAGCGGAAGATGGTAATATAAGCTATAAATGGTACGATTTTTCACTTTTTATGCTATATCTACGAAACTATGCAGACATTAGTAAAAGTCGTTGAATAGTTTTTTTTCTCTATTTTTGTACGAATAATTTGAGACCAAGTAGAGCTCCGTGCGACAAACAGTTTCGGAGATACAATTGTCCAAAGTTTCAGTAAAAAAGATGAAAAATCGCTTGAAAATGACCATTTTTTCTATTTTGCCTCCGTAAACGTTTTCGACGTCTCGGACGAGGAAAATACATATAAGATTGTTTGAAGTAGATTTTATGACGAAAAAAATGCGACTATAAAGAGCTCTCTGCGATTAACAGAACCGGAGATATGAAGTTGTGAAGTAGGGTCTAAAAGCGGTTTTTCTTAGATATCCACTTTTTAACTTATAAATTGCACTTTGCTTACACAGAAGTTTTTTCTTGTACCAAATAAGTGCTCAACACCTCCTTCTTCTTACATACAATTTTGAAAATATCTCTTTTATAATGTATGGCACGATCTTACTGCGCCACCGTTACGCGGCTAACGTTTCGCGCGGGAAATGTAAAATCTCGTTGTAATCCAATGAACACTTTTGTCAAGTGGTTGTTCGACTTGAATATTAGTAGATATTAATTGATATTGTTCCAGAACAAAAAATCTCTGTGTAAGCAAAGTGCAATTTAAGTTAAAAAGTGGATATATAAAAAAACCGCTTTTAGACCCAACTTCACAACTTCATATCTCCGATTCTGTTAATCGCAGAGAGCTCTTTATACACGCATTTTTTTCGTCATAAAGTCTACTTTAAACAATGTTGTATGTACTTTCCTCGTCCGAGACGTCGAAAATGTTTGTGGAGGCAAAATAGAAAAAATGGGCATTTTCAAGCGATTTTTCACCTTTTTTACTGAAACTTTGGACAACTATATCTCCGAAATGATTTGTCGCACAGAGCTCCACTTGGTCTCAAATTATTCGTACAAAAATAGAGAAAAAAAAACTATTGAACGACTTTTACTAATTTCTGCATAGTTTCGTAGATATAGCATAAAAAGTAAAAAATCGTACCATTTTTAGCTTATATTACCATCTTCCGCTCTGAAATCGTGGACGCAAAATGAAACTTATATTATTTACGCCTAAATAAAGCATTTAAATCAATAAACAGCCTGTTGGCAATTATTTCCTTTTTAAATGCTAAAGTGACTGGCCTATAAGGCCGGTATTCATAGTCGAGTCTTATTTCAAGACCGTGATCTTAAGCCCATGAAGCCGGGAGCACATAGAAAAACGTAAGTCCGTAAGATGTAATTAGAGACCCTCTAATCAGAGTCGCGACACGAGAACAGCCAATTTTGATTGGTTCATCATTTTTCAGCAATTCCCGCCAATATTCGAATGTCAATATTGGCTGCCTTCGGGAACGTCGCTCGGATGCTTCGGATTCATTATCTGTCTTTATTTAACATTTAATGTTAAACAAGGACGGATGATAAATCCGAGGCATCGGAGGCATCCAACGTTTCCGAACGTAGCCATTGTAGGAATAGGCGATGTGCGTATCGATACGTGAAAAATCGTTTGCGAACTAATTTATTTTGTAAAGAATCAATTTTTCCAACCAAAACAAGCATAGAATGACAGGAATAGCGTTAATAGCATCTCCCTTACGGCCTTACGTTTTTCTCTGTGCTCCCGGCTTTAAGTAATGTCTTAAGACGCTAATGCAGCTTTCTGATTGGTTCGTGACTTCTTAAGACCGTACTTAAAGGCCGCAGCACAGACTCTTGCATAACGCATAATGCATAGTGCATAAAGGAATCAACCAATTGAAATTCTTCTTTTCCATGGAATGGGAGGAAAGGAAAGCTTCTGATTAGTTGATTCGCTTATGCACTATGCGTTATGCGTTATGCAAAAGCTTGTGTCTAATAGGCCTTCTACAATAAGCCGCAAGTCAGAAGTTCTAAGCGATCTTAAGTCATAATGAAGTTGGCCAACAGCCAATTTGAACGACTTGGTTAATACTGGTAAAAGCGGGGAGCACAGACTCTTGCATAACGCATAACACGTAATGCATAAGAATATGTACCAATCGAAGTTCTCCGTTTCTTTCCCTTCCATGTAATAGAGAACTCTGGTTGGTTCAATTTCTTATGCCTCGTGTGTTATGCGTTATGCAAGAGTCTGTGCTCCCCGCTTAAGACTTCTGACGTTCTGACTTGCGGCTTATTGTAAAAGGCCCATTATGATTATTGTTACGGAAGGTGTGTGCGGCAGCCCTTAGAACATATACTACGTAGTATATGTTCTAAACATAAACATCTAAGCGTAAACATAAACATACTCTAACCTCCAATTCTGTACTTCGATGTGAATAATAAGGATGTAGTGATGTATATATACATTTCATAAATATATACATAAGAAAAATTTAAAAACCATACCATAAGATTATATGTAAAAAGCGTACACCGAAAAAATTGTATTCTTAATTTAAGAATATCCCACTTACGTATATAGTTTTCCTCTAAAATAAGCGCTGAGACGATCCTCTCAATTTAAGAGGGTATCATCTAAAAATTAGTATATTCTTAATATGAGAATATACAGGATGTCCTATTTTAAACGATGATCTCAAATATCTCTTGAACATACATTTTAGAGAAAAATGCTTCAGACGAAAGTTGGGGGTGACCCCGATTGATCACGGCTCGATTGGACACCACCAATCACAGCGGCCGGTTCTTAGGAGCTTTGTAGTCTCAAGCGCTGTGAGTGGCTCGTGTCCAGTTGAGCCGTGTTCAACTGGGTGCCACCCCAAAAGTTGCATGGTTTTAAGGGGGACATCATCAAAAACCGTGTGAAGCGCACGTGTGGCGACGATCGCTTTCGCAAATCGAGAATATATTATTAATTTAAGAGGAAATATTCTTATATCTGTTAGGCCGAAGGCACATGAAGCGGTAAAAGTAAAAGCGGAACGGTTTTGGCGGTAGCGGCGGAAATCCAGCGACCAATCGGAGTCTTTCCGCATTTTTCGTACAGCATTTTTCTGATCCCTATGTCACATGGAGCGGTTTATGCGGTAACGATTCACGCGGTAGCAAATCGTAAAGTATTAATAGAAACAGATTTTCCGCAGAAAATATAAAAGTACTTCGTGATTGGTTGAATTTTGTTCCGCTACCGTATGAACCGCTCAATGTGACACAAGGGAAATATTTTTGCAGAAATGTGCAAACGGTAATGTATTTGTTAAAATCTTCTCAAGAAGAAAAGGCCAGTGTAGAGGTTACAGAATTTCTTCCCCATATCAATTTTTTTTATCGTTCTTTGAGTTTTATGCGTTCTGTGAGTTAATGTGTTTGAGCGCATCATGAGTGCAAGGAATATTTTATTGTTTATCTGTAAATTACTAATTTTACGCAAAAAAGTATATTGCGTATTTGAGAGGGAGGCAATCTGCAAGAAAATATTAAAATTATATTCATTGTACATCATTCAAAAAACTGAGAAACAACATTACAAACAATTTTGGGTACGTCCAATATTCACGGAGGAAAGGAGGTTGATGCAAGGAGCAAGTGACAATTAGATACGAGAAATGGAGACACTTGACCCCGAAAAATTTTTTAATTATTTCCGAATGTCACATACTACTTTTGAGGAACTTTTCAACATTGTTGAACCATTCATTACTAAGGCACACGTTATTCGAACACCAATACCTGCACGCACTCGTCTGCAAGTAACTTTACGATACTTGGGTTCAGGTGACAGTATGGTTTCTATATCGTATGCATTTTGAATAGCGCATAATACAGTTTCTGTGATAATCAACGAAACATGCGAATCAATTTGGAATGTTTTAAAACATCGAGTATTTTTGCAACCCTCCTCGAGTAATTGGGAAAAAGTCGCTGATGATTTTGAAAAAATCTGCAATTTCACTCATTGCATTGGAGCCCTTGATGGAAAACATGTTATAATGCAGGTACATTTGTTTTAATGTTTTTAAATTTATGTCTTCATTATGAGCAGTATGTGTTTCAAGCGATTTTTCAATTGTACAGGCCCCACCTAACAGTGGATCAAAATATTATAATTATAAAGGCCAACACAGTATCGTTCTTTTAGCTATCAGCGATGCTCATTGTTGTTTTTCCATGGTTGATATTGGTGGAGAAGGACGACAGTGTGACCGTACTGTTTTTCAAAATAGTGAATTTGGCAAACGATTTGGCAACGAATCTCTATATCTACCCGCAGCCAAAAATATTGCAAATACAAACGTAACATTGCCATACGTATTAATAGCCGACGAAGCATTCCAGCTAACACTATACATGATGAGACCTTATCCGCGCAAAAACTTAGATCTGAAAAAAAAAAAGGTTTTCAATTATAGGCTGAGCAAGGCAAGACGGACAGTGGAATGTGCATATGGTCTTCTTGCTGCTCGATGGCGAATTTATGGAAAACCTATAGTTGCGTCAGTTTCAACAACTAGGAATATTATTAAAGCTACAACTGCTCTACATAATTTTGTAATGATCAATGAAAGAAAATCAAATGGAGTGTTGTCTCAGTATTCGCAGCACACTGCACAGGATCGAGCAGTAATATCAAACGGCTTCAGGAACATACCACGAAATGTATCATCCAGTTCAGTGCAAGCAGTGAAAATAAGAGATGACTTTAAAGATTTTTTCAACAACGTTGGCGCAATATCTTGTCAGTGGGAGAAAGTCTTAAATAATGACTTCTGATTGTATTCAAAATAATTTTGATTTTTTCTCGACATTTTAATGCAAGTTTATTAGAACATGTGCATTGAAATATAATAATAATCTTAAAAAAAATAAAAATAATATAATGTAACAATACATAATAATAGTATATATGTATTAACATATGAAATGTACACTATTACATTTGTAATGTGTACCCTTTACAGTATTTCACTCTAGTTCCGCTTCTCTTAGCTGTTGTCGTAGCCATTCAATCTCTAATTCCGTCCTTCTCCGGTATGGAAGGCGACGTAGTCCTTCGCCAAGTCGAAGCAATATGCCGTCTATTGCATCTGAACCTACATGTTCTTCCCGCAAAGCATCTAAGATAGCATATTGCACTTCTTCAGACTCCGGACTCACTTTGGGTACTGCAAAAAATAAATACATAAGGTCTTTAATCATATTAATGTATCATCCGCGACAAGAGTAATGTTAATAAATTCAGGCTCATTTTTTTGTAAAAATATGATGCTGGATATAATGAAATTAAGATCACTTACTCTTCGCTTTTCTCATCGGTGATAAATTTGATGCCAATGGACTGCGCTTGACTGGTGGTTTTACATATGCATTCTTTGATGTTTATTTAGCGTAGTGCGGGAAGCACATGGAGATAAGGATGGCAAAATTGTTGTATTCAAGTCCATATTTTCATTTCTGAATGGAGCAATGTTTTCCTTTTGTGATGAATACACTGGTACATTTAGAGATTCCGAAGAAGAAGAAGTAGATGAAGGCAGCAAAGATGAAATAGTACTGTAATATAAAATGATACATTAAATTTTCAATTTAATATTACATATTATGTATTATGTTCGATTTCCTTGTATCGAACCTATATATCATAACTTACGATTCTGTTTGTAAAGAGATTTCCAAAAATTTCATTCGCTTAAAGAAGCGAAACGAATGCTTCTTTATTGCTTTTGCAGAATCTGTTGAGGATCCACTGGGAACGTACTGTCTGCTTACTTTCCTTGCTTTCATGTATGCGTCCCGTAAATATTTCCAGTGCTCTTTGACCCACTTTACGGTCATGTCACCTATCGAGAAAGGAAATTTTATATATATAAATAATTAAAAGAATAGATATAATAGATTTCAAATATAAGTGATTACAAAATGGATACATACGAAAAAGTTTCTCAAACAAAATTGTATTATTTATGAATGTATAAGATCTATTATATTTTACCAATAAACAAGTGTATTGTGTATACATACCACCTCCCATCTTATTTGAGATTTCTGCCCAAAGAGCATCCTTTTTTATATTTGTCCTCTCCTGCAATGGTAGTGTATGATTCCACAAGCTAGGCCTTGCTTGGACTAGTTCTATTAATAATTCATTTACTGCGTCACCTGAATATTTTGGATATTTCGACGAAACAACTTCAGTATTCAAAGTGCTATTTTCTTCATATGTGTTTCTTGGTACTACAAAAAATATACATTATATATTACTTTTTTTATTACATTTGCATAAGGCCCGGTTGTTCCACCTTTCAGGAAATTTTCTGTTAGGTAAGTAGCAACATTATCCAATCACATGCGCGGATTGTTACATTTACCTAAGAGATAAATTTACTGAAAAGTAGAACAACCAGCCCTTAAAGTCTTAAGTTTTGCTGTAATTTAAATCATTATCATATACAAGATCTATCACGCATGTTACCATCGTATTGTCTAATGAAATTTATTACGTTAAAGCAATACATACTCATCCTTGCCATATGATCATTGTCCACCTGAAGTAAATGGAGATCTTCGTTGTAATTCCGAAAACATTCATGGGCCTCTATATTACTGCAGGTTCCTCTCATGACCCACCCGCAATAACCGCATTTTACGTGCTACCAAAATTAATTTTTAGATTAACTACATGCATTTGACCTCGACGTTATACCTCGATGGTCACTGTTATATTTTCACAAATTGTTAATGAACTATTATTTTAAATAATGTTTACTCACTACATTTTGGTTGTAAGCCATCTTCCTGAAATATATGCACCCGATCTAAATCTAAATACGTGATTATTCCATTTCAAATTCTTAAAACTTTCTTTGGTAGTAACCGTAGCAACAAACAAGCTGCGTTTCAACTTTTTTTGCGATCACCGCGAAAACGTTTAGACTACAACGAAAATCACGTGACCCGTGACATTTGGTTCAATGGTTCCGCGGCATTTTTGCGGTACGAAAAATGCGGAAAGGCTCCGATTGGTCGCTGGATTTCCGCCACTACCGCTAAAACCGTTCCGCTTTTACTTTTACCGCTTCATGTGCCTTCGGCCTTAGGCTGCGTTCAGGTACTACACTCGGGAGCACCCAAGCTCCCGAATGCCGTTCAGAAACCAATTGAAAGTATCTCATCGTTACCTAGGTGGCCCGTTCAGAAACGTGTCGGGTGTTCCCGATCGGGAGACTTTTGCACCCTGCTCTTTTGCTAGGCTGCGTTCAGAAACATCACCCGAGTGCCCCCGCGTATCATATTATCTTTGTTGTTCACTCAGTGTAAGGTGCGATTTCACGCTGACGCTAGACGCTCATTTTCAGCGTCAAAACAGGTCACGTGATCAAAATTGACGCTTGGTCAATTTTGATCATGTGACCTGTTTTGACGCTGAAAATGAGCGTCGAGCGTCAGCATGAAAAGGCACCTTTAAACAAGGATAAGATAATACCCGGAGACACCCGGGCGATGTTTTTGAACTCAGCCCTAAGTGGAAAGTTTCTCGATCGAGTAGGCACACAAAGCGCGGGAAGTGAAACATGGGCTGCGTTCAGCAAACTCAGCAGTTTTACAACCGTTTTGTGATTCATCGCACTGATTGGATTATACTTTTAGATTTAAAGGAATAGTCCTATCTCAGCGAAGAATCACAAAACGGTTGCAAAACTGTTGAGTCTGCTGAACGCAGCCATGGCTACAAATAAGAATTTATTAATGCAATTTAATAATGAAGATCAAATTATATTGTGGAATCCTGGAAGTAAGTAAACTATATTTTACTTCGATCGATTATAATTTACGATGAAGTACAATAAATGTTTTTTCGTCATGTTGCGTATGAAGTCCCGTTAAAGTGTAATAACTGTATAGTGTTCTTTAATAAATCAATTTGTTTGCAAAATATTTATCTTTAAACGTAATTATAATTAATTGAATATAATTGTTTAACTTGATTGCATTTATTTGCACAAAACATTTAATATTAGAGGTTATTGACCTTGTTTACGGGAACACTTGATACGCGTATTAACTAGTAAGCGTTTATTAAATTATCTTAATTTCGGCAATGCATAAAGAATGGTGTACTACTCCCGTACAATATGTATCAAAATGGTCGCGTTCAGCAGACTCAACTGTTGTGGAGCAGATCCGTGAGCACTCGCTGTTATTGGTGTATTCTTCTACATCATCCAATAACAACGAGCGCTCACGGATCCGCTCCACAACAGTTGAGTTTGCTGAACGCGACCAATGATTAATTAAATTAGTCATATCATGTATATGTTTACATGTTTCGCTGGAATTAAGATAATATAATAGAAAATTTACTAGCTAGTACATATATCAAGTGCTTGTTTTTTACGCTCCGCCATTTTCCTCCGGCTAGGTCGTTCAGAAACATACACACCAGAGAGGGTACCTTATCCCTACCATTTCACTCACACAGACTCCTAGCAATCACCCGGAAGTTTCTGAACGCAGCCTAGGAGAGAGATCGAGTGTGTTCGAAAGGAAGACTTAAAGAAAGAGTAAGGGAGAGAGAGGGAGGAGAGAGAGAGAGAGAGAGAGAGAGAGAGAGAGTGGATGAAAGGGAGAAAGAAAGAATAGATGACGGATAGAATTAGAAATATAGATAAAGATAGACGAGGAAGAATGGGAGATTTGGCGAGGTTTCTAAAAAGGAGGAAAAGGGAAAGGGAGGTAGGAGAGGTAGAGGTAGAGGGAGAGAAGATAGAAGAGGTGTTTAGGAAAAGTAAGAAAACGATAAGATTATCGGTGAAAATGGGGGAAGAAGGGGGGATGAGGGAGTGGCTAAAAGAGATGAGGGAGGAAATGAGGGAAGGGTTAAAGGGAGTTAGAAAGGAAATAAGGGAAGTAGCTGAGGGGCAAAAGGAATGGATGAGAAAGGAAGTGGAGAGGATAAAAGAGGAAATAAAGGAGAGGGAAGAAAGATGGATGAGGGAAAAGGAGAAAATGAAGGAGAGGATAAGGGCGGTGAAAAGGGAATTGGGTAAAATGAAGGCAGGGGGGAAGGGGAAAGGGATGGAGGGCATTAGGACAGACGAGGAGAGGGGAAAGGGAGAAGGGAATGAAATTTGGATGGAAAGTTAAGAAGATTGGAGAGAAAGAGTGAGTGGAGGGACAGGGAGGAAAGGAAAAAAATATTATGATAAAAGGGGTGAAGATAGAAGAAGAGAAAATAGAGGAGAAGATCAAGGAGGTAATGGGAAGTATACATGTAGGAGTGGGAATAAAGGGGGTGATCCTAATTAACCACGGCTCGATTGGACACCACCAATCACAGCGACCGGTGCTTAGGAGCTTTGTAGTCTCAAGCGCTGTGAGTGGCTCGTGTCCAATTGAGCCGTGTCCAACTAGGGGCCACCCGGGATAGAGAGAATAAGAAAGGTGGAGGGGGGGTAGGAAGGAGAAGGGGTCGATGGTAGTGGTAACGTTGGGGAGTGTAGAGGATAAGGGGAGAATAATGAGGAATAAATGGAGAATGAAGGGAAGAGATATATGGATCGAGGAGG